CGAGACCATCGAAGCAACGGTCAGGTTACGAGGAAAATCGTACCGCCACCGCTTCTCCGTACTACCACAACTAGACAACGCCGTACTAATAGGCATAGACCTCTGGGCGAAATTAGGAGTCGAGCTGCGCCCGCCGCCCAGACCTGTCACCGAGACAACAACCAAAGATGGAATCGCGACAGCCAGTATCAGCCCAGGAACTACCAGCGAGGCGCTAAGGCTACAGGCCTTTCTAAATAACGAACTTCCAAAGTTCGAATCGGTCCGCGGCCCGACCGACAAAGCCACGCACCAAATTCGGCTAAAACCGGGGCCGCCCATTAAACAACGATATCGGCCCCGTAATCCGGCCATGCAAGCCGTGATCGACCAAGAGGTCCAAAAGATGGAAGCCGAAGGAGTCATCGAGCCCTCCACCAGCGCCTGGAGCTCTCCGATAGTGCTGGCAAAGAAGAAAGACGGGACCTACCGATTTTGTATAGACTTCCGCCGATTAAACGCGGCCTCCGAGAAAGATGCATACCCGCTGCCTCACATTGCCGCCACCTTGGATAAGCTACGAGGCGCACACTACTTGTCCACGTTGGACCTACGCAGCGGGTATTGGCAAGTGCCACTAACTCCGGAGAGCCGCCCCGCAACCGCCTTCACGGTGCCAGGGAGAGGGCTGATGCAGTTCCGCGTCATGCCATTCGGACTGCATTCAGCACCGGCCACCTTCCAACGGCTGCTCGACACCGTGCTAGGACCCGAGTTAGAACCACACGTCCTCGTCTACTTGGACGACATAGTTGTCGCATCCCGTACTTTCGAGGAGCACCTAGGCCACTTGGCCGAAGTCTTTCGCCGCCTCCGTGACGCCCGACTCCGCCTCAACCCAGAAAAGTGTCACTTCTGCCGGCCAAGTCTTCGGTACCTCGGACACGTTATCGATCGGCACGGAATCCGGACGGACCCAGAGAAAGTGCGAGCCATTACCGATTGGCCTGCCCCCACGACCCTCCGCAGGGTTCGGCAATTTCTGGGGGTAGCGTCATGGTACCGCCGATTCATCGCTGACTTCTCCACTATCGCCGCCCCTCTCACTCGACTCACTAAAAAGAGAGCGCGCTGGACCTGGGCAAAAGAAGAAGAAACCGCGTTCCGGAAACTAAAACAGGCCTTAACCACCGCACCTGTCCTCGCCTGTCCAGATTTTGCGCGACCATTTCTACTACAAACCGACGCCAGCGCCCACGGGTTAGGGGCCGTATTAACCCAACACCTCGGCGAAGGAGAGCGGGTTATCGCGTACGCCAGCCGGACCCTCAACGCAGCCGAGAAGAATTATAGCGCTACCGAACTAGAGTGCTTGGCTGTCGTGTGGGGTATACGCCGGATGCGGGATTACCTCGAGGGCTACCGATTCACCGTCGTGACCGACCACCAAGCTTTAAAGTGGTTACAACACATCGAGGCCCCTACCGGACGACTAGCCCGCTGGATGTTCGAATTACAACAACATGATTTCGACATCCAGTACCGGCGCGGGACACTTAACCAGGTGGCAGATGCCCTCTCCCGCCTCCCGGAAGCTTTGGCGGTGACCCGGCCGAAATGCCGGTGGTACCACCGTAAACTAGCCGAAGTACGGAGACATCCGACCGATCACCCGGACTATAAAATCCAGGATCAACGATTGTACAGGCATGTACTCCACGATCTGGACTTCCGGGAAACACCAGCCGAAGAGCAATGGAAGCAGTGCGTGCCTACAGACCAACGACCCGCCCTGCTTCAGCGAATGCACGACGACCCGGCCGCCGGGCACCTAGGCATTTCCAAAACATTGGCTCGGGTGGCCCAGCTATATTACTGGCCCGGCATGTTTCGGGAAATTGCCCGGTACGTCCGAGGGTGCGCTAATTGTGCGCGGCACAAGGCCAGTCAACAACGACCGGCTGGTCGGATGATGGCCACCTCCGTCCGCGCACCATGGGAACAAGCCGCCGTAGACCTGATCGGTCCCCTGCCTCGATCCACTAGCGGCCATACCTGGCTATTAACCATACAAGACCGGTTCAGTAAGTGGATCGAGATGGTCCCGCTTAGAAAAGCCACCGCCGTAGCCGTAGCCCGAGCACTCACCGACCGCCTGATATACCGGCACGGGTGTCCGGTCGCCCTGGTGTCCGATAACGGGACTCAGTTCGTCGCGCAACGCATTAAGGCCTTGCTAGCTTCCTACGGGATACAACATCGGACATCCCCCGTGTACACTCCGCAATGCAATCCGGTAAAGCGAGCGAACCGTACGGTTAAAACAATGATCAGCCAGTACGTAGGCCGGCGGCACAAAGACTGGGACGAGCGAATCCCCGCCTTACAGTTCGCCATCAACACCGCCCGACATGAGGCCACCGGATACACTCCGGCCTACATCCTGCACGGCCGAGAGCTCGCCCGCCCACATCCAGAGGATCGACCAGGAACCGCACCAGCACCAGGACCAAGCACCCGCCAGACCCAGTTGGAGGACGCCTACAAGGTGGTCCGAATCCACCTCGCCCGGGCCTTCCAGCGGCAAGAGAAGCCGTACAACCTGCGGCGACGAGACTGGCGACCGCAGCTGGGCGAACGCGTCTGGAAACGCGACCGCCCCCTGTCCAGCAAGGCCAACGCGTTCAACGCCAAGCTGGCCCCGAAGTACAGCGGACCGATGACTGTCCGGAGGATCGTATCCCCCGTAATTGTTGACCTCAAGGACGCCCGAGGACGATGGCACCGCCACATCCATGTGCAGGACCTCAAGGCGGCATCCGAGGAAGAGGACGAGGAAACCGTCGGAGCGTAGGACAGGGCCAGCCGCCGTGATTCCTCCAGCGCCATACCCCCCACGCCATCTCGCGGCTCCCTGTATCAACCTCCCGACTCGGCCGATAAGATCGCCGGGCGAAGGCCCGAGCCCGCCGCTACGGGCCCCCCAGCGCACCGCGCGCCATCTCGCGGCGCTCCCGCGACTAACCACCGACACAGACGGGCCACGAGGTCCGACCCCCCGCCGCTAGGGTCCGCAGGGGGAATTCGGTTTTCTCGCATTCAAAGACCCCCCGTAGGGGTATATAAGGGGGGCCGGGTCAATGACCCGGCTCATATTGCTGCGATGAGTCAACCGACCATCAAAGCGCTTTTTGGTGATATCTCCTCCTCGGAGGAGAGTGAAGGAACGGCTGACGAGCCAAAGGGGCCGCCTGTCAACCAGGCCCCAGCGGCGTCGGTCCGGCTCCCTCGACCGGGGGTCTCGGTCCAGCGGTCGGACGTGCAGCAGGAGCGCCGAAGGGCTATCCTGCTGACCGCGCCGCCGCCACCGCCGGGTCCACGGCCGAGGGAGTTCGGGCCGAACTACCGCGGCGTCCCGCCGTTCCTCGGGCGCAGCCAGCCCGGGCCCTCCCCGAGAGGGTGGCGGGGGTGGGCGCCGTCACAGCAGTGGCGGCACCCTCCTCCCAACCACCAGCTCGGGAGGTCCGCAGGCCGCCTCCCGCGTCGCCTGTTGTCATGGTTACCCTTGACGACGGGCACGTGGTGGCGGTCCCGTGGCACTGCGCCCACGCTATTCGGAAGTTCCGAGCCACCTCCCCTACTGGACGGTGGATAATACGGTTCGACCGATTCGGCCGACCACGTACGATCCGCCGTCTAGAGAGGGGGTAGTGTAACGGCGTGTCCGTTACTAACGCCTCGCGGGCCGATCACCCGCCCGCTACTTGAGGCTATGGCGCCTAAGGCGCCCCTAAACACAAAAACATAACTGATACACGGGTCACCCTACCCCAGGGGCGCCCCACTACAACCCCCAGAGGCGCCCCACTACGACGCCGGCATTACCCCCACCACAGCCTCGATGTAGAGTGGGGAACCGCCGGCAGGGTATATAAGCCGGCTCGACGGATGAGCCGGCACCAGTCCTGTTCCGGACCTCCTAGCCAGGCAACGGGCTTCTCGTTGTTACGCCGGGTTTCCCGGTTTCCGGTCTCTTCCTGCTACACGCCAGGCAACGGGTTTCTCGTTGTTACGCCGGGTTTCCCGGTTTCCGGTCTCTTCCTGCTATACACCGGGTGACGGGTTTCTCGTCATTACGCCGGGTTTCCCGGTTTCCGGTTTCTTCCTGCTATAGGCTATACGCCTCCGTACACCGTATCTCTAAGTTATACCGGGTAATTTGTAAATCTTTTCCGGACACCGCTACTGGCTATACGCCTCCTTATTTTGTTTATACCGAGTAGTCAATAAGTTTCTCTATTTAGGGCTTTATGCCAACAAACATTTCGTTTATACCGAGTAGTCAATAAGTTTCTCTATTTAGGGCTTTATGCCAACAAACATTTCGTTTATACCGAGTAGTCAATAAGTTTCTCTATTTAGGCTTTATGCCAACAATCATTTTGTTTACTTGTTTCTTTTAGAATAAACCAAAGCATTGTTAATAAGGAATAAGCGAGTCTGAATCTCCCCCTTCCTCCCGAATCCTGGAACCGGCGAGCCGATCCACGGCGTCGGGAAAGGTGAACCGTTACATGTTTATATGTACTGTTTATAATGTTATATATATATATATATATATATATTTCTTTTTCTTTTTGTCTATCTAATCGTTATATACATTTATGTGCATAATAAATAGGTATGTAATATTTTGTGTATTTGTGCTGTATGTAACAGCCCAGATAGCACGAATGTCAGAAAGACCTCAATTAGAAATCTTATCAAAGATTGCTTTCCGAGCTCTCAATATGATTTCTAATAGATTTAAATTTGTAGAAGTCTGTTATAAGATTTCTTTAAGATATCTTGTTTGAGAAATTAATTTTACGAGATCAGTAAGAAATCTTTTTCCAGCTAATTTTATGGATTTCTTATTGAAGACAACAGAACGTTATCTTGTATATGATGTATTTTAGATTTGTTCGCGCGCTTGCGCATTATATTAATATGTATAGTGTGTTCCAGTGTATAGTGTATACTCAATGCTTTCACGTGTTCTTTATATGCAGCTACAATTAACGTATCGTTGTCGTGTTGTCGATTGATTTATGATTCAGGTAAGTTTATGATGTAAATATTAATTAAACAATAAATGCTACAAAAAATACAAGATGTAAAATATTAAAGTAATGAATATAAAACCAATTTTTGATAATATAATCGATTCCAAAATTAACACAACCAAAAATGTTTAACATATGATCAAATTGCATTTATTATAAATTAATTTTATAATATCAACAAAGAATATGAGATACAAAATATTCATAATAATATATATAATGTATTTATACACATATAAATTATAGGACTGGATATTTTATCAAGAAGAAGAGAGACTAGTCCATAAACTGTCTCAATAAAACTGATTCATTACTGTACGTGGAAACAGAAACTTTTATTGAAAAGATAAAACTTATCGAGACGTTATCGTGTCTGCAGATAAACATATATACATATACAGGTGAGAATAATTTAATAATTATATTTATTTATTTTTTATAGATTTATATGAATTTTTCTGTAGTAAATTTTTAAGTAAAAATTATTGAAATGCAGCAGTAATAAAACACAAACTAATATAATAACAATAAGTGTTATATAATATCCATGTTATAATTTGCCACTCAATTAGTAATATAAAACTGTTTCAGAGATTATGATCAATTCCGGGTAATTGTACAATCTTTGACGTACAAGAAACAATTCAAAAATGGCTACAACATGCAAGTGATCGAGTTCGTTATATAGAAAAAAAACACGCTCAAATATAATTTTAAAATTTTGGCATAAAAATTATATTATTTTTTCTATTTCATAATATTTTATTTTAATATTATTATTTTTTTCATAATAGTTTATTTTTCTTCTTCACATTTTTATTTCTATTAAAGTTTTATTATATTTACGATCTTAATTTAATATATATTAATCTATAAATATATATTAAAAATGTTTATTTTATTATAGATTAATATTTTTTTTATTTAATCAAATAATTTAAAGTTTAATAATCATTTTTTAATTATTATAGTTAATTAAAAATCATAAAAAGCATATTAGCATTTTATATTATAAAAATATATTATATTATATTTTATATATTAATATAAATATAATGTTTAAAAAAGTTTATATTTGTATTTAAGTATTCAAAATACACACACACACACACACATATATATATGTATGTATGTTTATGTATATATAGTAACCCCTAAATGGGCATAATATTATCGTATATTTTTATTTGTGAAGATTTCTCATATAAATAAGAATTTTCCTTTAAGCTTCAATATTTACTCTCAACATATTTAAAATCCCTGGTAAAATATTTAGCAAATAAACTCTCGGAAGAGAAATGTATGTGAATGAAGGATGAATATAATATGAAAGAAAATTAATTGTCTCTTGTCTTTCATCAAAAAATTCCCTTTGGGGATCTTGCTAAATATTTTACCAAAGGCATATTTTTGTGTCTCGAATGTTTTAGAATAAGTTTTATTGGCATCATCAACATAAACTTCTAAAAAGATCTAATTTAATATATCTTTTGATTTCTATTACGAGATATCTCAAAAAGTAATCTTTTTGATTTCTATTACAAGATATCTCAAAAAAGTAATCTTTTTGATTTCTATTACAAGATATCTCAAAAAAGTAATCTTTTTGATTTGTTTTATAAGATATCTCAAAAAAGTAATCTTTTCGGTGACTTCAGAAGAAATCTTTTTTTTCTCTAAATACGACGCATAAGAGCTCTTTCTGATCTCATTATGTTGGCTTTCGAAACCAATTTTTGGATGTCCAAATCTTGAAGAAGAAAACTTTAAGAATTCTTTCTGATATTAATTGGCTATCTGGGATGCTCCCTTTCTACTCAATCTGCGACCAGATAGGGGCAAACGTTTATTTTTGTTTGCACCCATTATACACTATATATTTAATAAATATAAAAATATCACTTTTAAAATATCACAGTATGTCTATCTATCACAATATTCGACACGTTATCACACGTTATAACGGTCGAGTCGCGCACTGCGTGTAAGCACGTATAGTACGTACCGCGTCACAAGTGAACCATCCCGCGCAAATATATGTCATTGCGCGCACACGATTTTGTTTACAAATATGTATATATAGGGTGTCTACATGCTACATTTTTAGCATGTACCCAATTTTTGTTATATTTCGCAAAATTATAATTACACAATTATTTAATATAATTATATATAAAAAATTTTTTCCCGGGTTGTATGTGTCGTAAGAAAATATATGTATAATTGATCGTTTGCATTGAATGTCACTATTTTCTGAAAAGTAAAAAAGAGAGCTCTCTCTCTCTCTCTCTCTCTCTCTTTCTTGATCCTTTATGCTTATTGTTAGTATTCTATCAATTAGTAATCAATGCAATCAATCATATCGTTTTACGGCAACAGCCAGTTACTTGTTCACTCACTCATTCATTCTTTTAAAATATGTCCATTTTTATACATAATTATGTAAATTTATATATAAAAAATAAGGGTGCATATATAATCATGTCAAATTTGTATATAAAACATATATATTTATATATATAAAGAAATACTTATTTATTACACTTGTATATATATATATATATATATATATATATATAAATTTATATAATTATATATAACAAGCACTTTTACTTAATTATATATAGACATATTTCATAATATAATTCTGCGATTATACGTATACTTTTATATATTTCTATATAATGTTATATTATATATTATATACACAAATTTTTGTCCCGGGGTATTTTAAACTTTTATTTTCTTTTTCTTTCCCCATTCTTGTCTGTCTTTACATGCATGTTATTATGTTGTATGTGTATCATGTATAATTTGGATTTGTATGTATGTTGAGAAGATTGGAATAGATAAAATTTTATTACTTCATGTTTTTATATTATAAATGCAGCTTTTTGTAAATATCCGAAATAAATAATTTTTCTACAAATATTTTAAATTTATCAAAATATTTTTTTACTGCACAATTAGACTAATATATTTTGCATTATTCTATCTTTATTAATTTTTTCATAATAAAATGGATTTTATTGAACAAATAATAAATAGTAAGAGAATATATAAAACATCTAAAAGAATATATTTGTATAAACTAAAATATTTGTGAAATCTAAATTTTGTTTAAATTAATTTTCATAAAAATTGTATTTTAAAAATTTAATTTAAAAAAGCTGCATTTATAAAATAATTTATTCTAATCTTCTCAACAAACATACAAATGCAAATTATATATTATGCACATACAACACAATAACATGCATATAAAGACAGACAAGAATGAGGAAAGAAAAGGAAAATATGAGTAAAAGTAAAATCTCCCGAAGAAAAATTTTTATATATAACAATATAAAATTATATAGAAATATATAAAAGTATACATAGAATCGCAAAATTATATATGAAATATGTCCATACATAATTAGATAAAAGTGCTTTTTATATATAATTGTATAAATTTTATATATATATATATATATATATATATATATATGTTTGCATAGAGTATTTTAGCGAGACCGGATGAAATGTTTTAATATCTTTGTATACATAGGTTTACATTGGTCCATAGATGTATACATAATGCAAATAATTTGTTTACATATGTTATTAATAAAGTTATTGCGAAAATTAAATACTGTATCTGTAGAGTATTTTATTGGTACCGTTTTTTTTTTGGTATCGTATATTAACGGTACCTTATATTCATATATACAGAGTGTCCGAAAAATCGCCTACTCTACTTCGGGAGGTGATTCAGGACAAAAAAAAAAGAAAAAAATGTTATATAAACATAGGTCCGAAAATAAGTCGTTCCCGATTTATAAACACTTTTATGTTAAAAAAATCATTTGTAGTACGCTTGGCAACCCTCTTTCTTAATTTTTTCTTAAATTAAGAAATTCTTAAATTAACGAAAAGCGCGCGCTTGTGTTGTCTAGTATATTAAAACATGGAATAGTATATTTTTATGAAATAACGCGAGCAAGCTTTATGGCGCCACATTTTTGTTATTGGCGTAACTGTTAGTATAAAACGTATTTACATTATATTATTATTAATTTCATTGTAAAATGATTAATGTTCACGATACGTGTAGCTTATTTTATTTTACTTATAATTACAATTTATCAAATTATGGATACAATAATACGAGTAAGTTGTATGACGCCTAATTTTTGGTATTAACGGGACCACACAAGACATTTTCATTTTGCATATGTATAAGCTGATTGGCTACTCAGCTTTTCGTTGCAACATAAGTCTTTTGTGCGAAGAAATCATAGTGTGGCAATTGAGGGCTAAAAGCGAATTGTAAAAAAAATACATTAATATTTTAATGAATATATGACATCAAACTAACATCATTTTGAATTTTCTGTTCTTCTTGGGTATTTCAAGAATCTTATTATTTCTACGTAATTTAAAAATTATATTATAACAAACTTTAAGTAATGTTATTTTTCTGGAAAATTTGCGTTAATATGATGTAAATGCGCATTATATGAAACGGTCCTGTCAACAAAATTTTGGCGCCATAAATCTTGCTGACGTAATTTCGCAAAATTGATCAATACTATTCCATCTTTTAACAAATTCAAATATTAATATTATGAATATAGAAAATGAAACATGGGAGCATGTGATAGGAGAATGTGGGGGAGAAGGGGGGAAGGGAAACTGGTGGGAAAGAATGAAGGAAATACTGCAGGAAGGAGGAGAAGGGGAAGGATGGATGAGAGAAATAGAGAAAAAGAGGGAAGAGGGGAGAACGGAAGAAAGGAGGGAGGGAGGGGAAAAGGAGGAAGGAAGGATGAGGAGGAGAATGAGTGAGGTATGAATGAGGTGGTGGAGAATGTATGGGGAATCGGAAGCCGAAGCGAAACGATAGGTAGGGACGGCTCTTTCTCTCTCTAAAGTAGTAGATAAGTAGGTTAAGGTAGAATTAAGTTATTTGTAAATTAGATGTAAGAGTAGAGTTAAGAGTAGATATAAGTAACATTGTAAGAGGTTGTAAGGTTGGGGAACGCTCCTTCAAAAGCGCCTTCAATCCCTTAGGGGACGAATAAAGAATTGAATTGAATTGAAATTGAAATATTAATATTTAATTAGATAACAAAATGGATGTCTTATGTTGGTGCTAAATATACGCATATTTTTTAATATGGTGTAAATAAACGCATTATATCAAAGGTCCCGCCAATAACAAAAATTTGGTCCCATAAAGTTTGTTCGCACTGTTTTGTAAAAATTCTCATTAATACAGCATTTTAGCATACTATTCGAATATTAGAAATAATTATTAAACAAATCGATTTTCTTATGTTGATACTAAATACGAGTTAAAAATACGTTGAGTTTACAATATCAACTTATGAGAAATTCGCTATATTGTTGGTATTATAATTGTGTTATTTCCACGAAAATTTAGAAAAATAAATTAAAAATTGAAGCGAACTTTAAGTTGTATTATTGTTTCTCTTGAAATTAGACGTTAATATGTTGTAAATGTGCATTATATCAACGGTCCCGCCAATAACAAAAATGTGGCGCCATAAAAGTTCGCGTTACTTCGTGAAAATTAATACTATTCCATGTTTTAGCATATTAACT